TTTAATTAGACCCATCCTCATGCTGTGCTTTATGTTCTCATGTCACAGAAAAAGCAGCGAGTCTGATTCTGTCTGAAGAGTCTCTCTGCGGTCTGTCCTGCAGAGAGAGAGACACTATGAATAATTCACTAAAGTTCATTCAGCATCAAAACATCATTTCTATTAAGCACTCTGAGCTCTGATATGGCGTCTCTCGACTAAAGCAGGAAATAATTTCTGTCTCTGTAAATGTAAGAAGTCCAAAAGCCTATAATAAACCACTAACACGCCCCCGAAACTATACTACAGCACACCACTAGCTAACCAAAGTACACATAAATAAATAGAGGAAGAAAAATAAAGCAAAGAGGAAGGAAGATGAGAAATAGCTATACAAGAGGAAATCTGGTAAGTTTGTCGTCCCATCCTCCTTATTTCAAAATTGTAACAGCTAAACTGAGCCTCTCGTGCTGAGAAAATCTCCGATGAACCTGAGATGAAGACGAGAGATATTAGAAACCGAAACGCCATGAGTTATTCAAGAAAACAACATCCTCCAAAGCGGCACAGACAGGAAGTGTTTGCCAGGGTGGGCTCACATTAAACCTCAATCTAGAAATCACTATAAACTAACTCAACCCTCATTAGACTTTAAGCTCCAGTTACTGCGACACAGACTCAAGAACAAAAACCTCCATCCAATGTTATTTCAAGAGTCTAATGCTAAACTGAGCCTCTCGTGCTGAGAAAATCTCCGATGAACCTGAGATGAAGACGAGAGATATTAGAAACCGCAACGCCATGAGTTATTCAAGAAAACATCATCCTCCAAAGCGGCACAGACAGGAAGTGTTTGCCAGGGTGGGCTCACATGAGACACCTAAACAACTTAAACCTTAATCTAGAAATCACTATAAACTAACTCAACCCTCATTAGACTTTAAGCTCCAGTTACTGCGACACGGACTCAAGAACAAAAACCTCCATCCAATGTTATTTCAAGAGTCTAAAGTTAACCCTGGACAACTGCTAAGAATAACTGAAGAGCAGCGGCTTGATGAATTTACAGGCTTCTGAAGGTTTTGTTTCCGTTTTAGGTAACCACACACACGCTGGCAGACAGCTGATAGAAGCACTTCTGCAGCATCTCTCCATGACAGACCATTTCCCGTCCAGCTCTGTCCTAATGTGATGAGACCAGGGGCAAAGATTAACTAGAGAAGCAACAAAAAATTATTTCAATCAATTTGATATAGATTAAATTAATTATAGGTGTATAAATTATAATTATATTTTATAATTATCCATTTATAATTATAATTTATTAATTTATAATTAATTTATTTTATTTTTTTATTTTATATATATATAATAAAATTCTTTAAAAAAATAACTATATATTATATACAAATAAAAAAGTAATATATAAAAAATAAAAACAGATGAAAACAGACAGAAAACAGAAAAACAGACATCAATGGTTGTATATACAGTATAGAACTGTACAATCTAACAAAATTATTTCATTTTATTCTATTCTAGTAGAGTGTTTATGTGTTGTGATATCTTGTGCATTATTTACAGATACATTTGCATCTGTAAAATGTACTTAAAACTGCAGGATGTGTTCTTACTTAACGTTACGTTTTTGACATAAATGGACAAAATGTGTTCTTTCTATGATTTGAAAAATATATGCCAATGTAAAAATGCCCCAGAAATCAATTCTAGGGGGAAATATTGCCCTTTAAAGTCTTCTGACTCTGGTTGGGACCATATAGAGGTTAGAGAACCGAGTGGATTGATGCGGATGCCTCAATATCTCTACGAACCGCTGTCGACTCTGTGGTTATCTAAGAAGAGGTTAGTAAGATGCCGTCAAGAAGATTCAATCAATATACGAATCAGCCAATCTAAATGAACGTTTTGCAAAAGAAATTAAAGACCCTCAATGAAAGAATGTGGGTTAAAACCACAAAAAACTCTTAAAACTAAATTTCCCAAATAGGGGTTTTCACAACGATGCCATAGAAGAACCAGTTTTGGTTCCAACAAAGAACCATTTTTTTCTAGGTGCATCAAACACCTGACTAATCTAAAGAAGATGTTCCACTGTAAAGAACCTCTTGTGGAGTGTACAGGTTCCACTGATGTTAAAGGTTCTTCAGATGCCAATAAAACCCTTTATTGCACTGATTCATGAACCTTCCCTCGTGTTCCTGAGCATGCCATGTTACACAAATCATCAGCTAAACGACTAGTTTGGCTTGCTTTGGTCAGTGTCGTGGCGCAGCGGGGTTTCAGGGGGCAGGGCGAAATCCAAGAGGAAAAGGCGGAAGTCGGTTTGGATCAAAGCCAGAGAACTTCAGGAAACTTCCGCGGATACATTAACACCAGACAACGAGACTTTGCACTCGCCCTGAGATATTAAGATGTGCATGCACGCTTATATAAATGCGAGCAAAACCCCCGAAGCTCTTACCCGGACCAGGTTGCTGACAGCTGCCTGCACAGCGGCCACAGGAGCGGTGAGGTCCGGGATGGCTTTCCCGTCCACCTCTCCCTCCTCATGCATGATGACCAGATGAGAGATCTGCTGGGCCACCGGCTCCAGGATGCTCTCTATCGTCTTCGTGTGAAAAACCGGCATGATGAGCACTTAAGAGAACACAAACTCTAGTTCCAAGTGTGTATCCAGACTCCCCTCTCCGTATCCGAGACTATCCCCCTCAAGAGCACACTGACTCTCCTTCGCGCTACTAACTAACCATCGCGGGAAGCGACTCGTCTAGCGAATGAATCGTTCGTTGGAGTCGGTTCTTTCCAGTTCGCGCTTCACGAGTCAACAACTCACTGAATATGACAACATGTTTGACATTTATTCTGCTTTTTGTGACGGGTAAATTGAATTAGTAAATAGTCTAAGTGTAATAATATGTTTTTTTTGTTGTTGTTGTTTTTATATTGAATTTTTGCAGGCATATAAAAAGGTATTATAGAAGAAAAACAAGAAACAAAACTTAACAACAAAGAACCCCTCCGTAATAATATGTACGAATTTTTAAGAGTCAGATCCAACAAAGCTTTTCCAGCATTTACAATATTACCAAAGCACAGTAGTTGAAGTATTAGGTTTACTATGAAAAAGTAGTTATTTGTACCATTGATACTAGTAGGCTTACTTATTGTAACATTCTAGTAGTCTATTTAATCATCTATAATTGTATTCATTACAAAGACTTCTAAATTCTTTGCTATTAATCGCAGTTATTCTACTGCACCATTTGTTGTCATTGAACTCTATGTTTGTCTACATGCACATGTATTTAAAACCTGTTTAAACCCCCAGGAGTACATAACGACGAACTCTTTCTCTGAACTGACTCGTTGAAATGAACTGTTCGAAGGAATCGATTCGCGGCTCGCACAAACTCATTCGTCCTGATTGGCTCCGCCCATTGCCTCTGTAGTGTTTGCTAGTTCTTCCCAAACTACGCAATACATTCTCATGCCCTAAAAAGGGCACTTGATTCTGCTGTTCTCTGGGTGAGGACTCTGAGTGCCAGGGGCCACCGACGCGGTCTGAATGTTGCTCAGCATGGTTTAGGATCCGTTTGAAGCCTTTATGCCATATTTTCACTTTTATTTGCAACAAGATCAGTAAACAACACTGAAACAAAACAATATAATTCATTTAAAATGTGCACGGTTTCATGATACATATTTATTCACTGATGAATCTGATAAAACATTATAATTATAAAATGATATAGACCTATATATGTTTTTGCTTTATATATATATATATATATATATATATATATATATATATATATTTCTTTATATTTCTTTATATTTTTGTTTGTCATGGCATTGTCATATATTTATACTAGCACAGCTACTGCTTTAAAGTTTTAGCATGACAAACATTTTCTGATGAACAAACTTGTGTTGAAACTCTTAAAAACTCAAACACATAAACGCACATGACGAGTTCAGTGGATGGAAACAGATGTTATATCATGATATTCATAATCATAAGAGCAGGTTGCAGCCTTCATCACTGCTCTGATCAAACTGAAGCAACAATAACAATGTCTCAAGCTGTTTCAACCTCACAAACGCCTCAAACAGCCCAAGAATTTGCCCAGAGACCCTCAACAGGCTGCATGACCAAATATGGAAGACTCTGAAAAGAAAGAATTAAGGAAGTCCGTTCAGGGAGCTCAGAGTAAACACAAGCATGTGTGTCTGTGTGTGTGTGTGTGTGTGTGTCTGTGTGTGTGTGTGTGTGTGTGTG